TTTTGGTCACCACCAAAGAATGCGCGCCTGAGATTTATGGTTGAGTCTCAGTGAGCCAATTCTTTCCCCCCGAGACCACGTTTTCTACCGTCGGATGAAAAGACTTCCTTAAAATCCTGTCATTCCTCTCCCCAATATCAACTGGCCCCACAGCCGAATTCTCTATCAATCTGGACGCATGTCCCTTTGGAAGCACGCATTATTTGAGGCTTCCCTGTCTGTCATTCCAGGCTGAGAAACCACCATCACCAGAAACGTTAAGACTTCATTGATACAGATTATAACCCCCAATTTTGAAAACGTCTCCCTTTTGCTCCCACAGGCACCAAAGAGCATCAAGGCCAAACAGCCTTGATGTTCTTTCTCACCTGTCCTGTTTTCCTGGGACGAATCCAGGATTTTTTAATGGTTTCCCCAATTTTCCGCAAGAGGACTTTCTCTGGAGTCCTCCACATACAACAGGGGGGTACCTGATACACGGGATGCAGACCGACACCGGGCTGCAGCATGTCAGAAACTGGACCGTGCAAACAAGCAAAGCCCCATCCATGGGATGTAGGGAGCATCCACGGACAGATGTTCCTGGTAGTGGTTGATGCGTATTCAAAGTGGGTGGAAGTCATTCTAATGCCATCGACCACTACTGAGGCTCTGATTAAGGCATTGCAAAAGATATTTGCAACTCATGGGTGCCCAGATTTATTGGTATCCGATAACAGGGCCCAGATGACATCTGCGTCTTTTCAGATGTTCTTAGCAGGACACGGCATTTGCCATGTCTTGGTGGCCCCTTACCATCCCTCGAGCATCCCACCTCTGGGTCAACCTTGATCGACTTCACCCCAGCTACTGCAATGACCACGCCAGGGGGTTTGAAATGGGGTACCTGGTTTTCGCATGGAACTATGGGGGTGAGCCGAGGTGGTTACTGGGGCGCATTCTGCAATTAACAGGTCCCTGCTCTTACAGAGTTGGCCTAGGCGATGGGTGCATTTGGCGTCGCCACATTGATCAGCTGAGACTGTAGATGGCCTCGATGCAGAAGCCAGCTGATCTCTTCCCAGTTTGTCCTATATTTGGTCCTCCCATTTGTTCCAGACATCTCCGCTGAAATGCCATGTTGCCCGACCAGGCAGTATACCGTTCCATTGCCAGACTTACCTGGGGAATCAGGGTTGCATCCAAAGTTGCTGGGCGGAGATTTAGCGCAGTCGTGGCAGTTCCCCTGGAGAAGTCTCCTCCTCCTCCTTCTCCTGTGACAGTTCCAGCCGAGCCATGAAGATCGGACCACACGTGCAGGCAGCCTGCATAGTTGCAAGATTACGCATGGGCCAGACTGATGGAGAGAGGTGTTATGTCTTAGCCTCAGAGACGTGGCTCTGTCTCCAAGTCTTGCCATTGATCGAGGCACGCACGCAGCCAGAGCAAGAAAGTTACTGCACAGTGATTGGCTACCCGTGGGAGAGCCTGCATATAAATTGCTGTCAAGCGGGAACTGTTCAAGCTTGTTGGTTCTGGAGCTGCTGTTGTGTTAGCTGTTGTAATAAAGCCTTGTTATCTGAGTCACTGCCTTGCCTCAGTCATTTCCACCCCTTCAAATATATTAAAACTAACAATACAATTTCAGGAAATAACATTTCCAAACTGCCAAGCAGATGATTTAAATTTTATTTAAGTGNACAGTATATATGTGACTGTATGAAAATGAAAAATGGAAAATAAAAACACATTTACATTCAGAAAAAAAAAGAGAAAAAAAATACTAGCTGACAATTGAAGGAGAACACACTGAGGTAACACAAAAACCACGTTTAACTTCTAACAGCAACAGAACTAAGTCAGAACAACTTCAGCACCACCCACTGTTTGACAGCTATTTATTCTAGAGCTGTCAAGTAGAACAACCAATCAGAGTCCATCAAAAGCCAGGCATGTTTTAGCCAATGGGCGCTGTCCTCCAGTTACCAGGCTGTCAGGTCGTAAGTCAAGGACCTGGCGCCTGGCCATAGGTCAAGGACTTTGTGCTGGTCGCAAGTCAAGGACTTTGCAGTTGTTAAGTGAATCACTGCAGTTGTTAAGTTAGTAACATAGTTGTTAAGTGAATCTGGCTTCCCCATTGGGTTTGCTTGTCAGAAGATCACAAAAACTAATCACATGACCCTGGGAAACTGCAATCGTCAATAGTAGATAGGTATTATTAATCTCTCCTTCCTTCAGCCTCAGCCATAAAACTTTGAATAAACGAAGATGCCAAGTATTCCATTGTTATTGTTTGGTTCAGATAAAACCAGAGAGATAGCCAAAATAACAGAATAATTTAAATCGAAGTCTAGTGTTTTGTGGAACTGAGAATTGACAACATTCTTTTTTCCACTTAAACAATAAAAAAAATCTTAAACTTGAAAAATAAGTTTGTCACATCAATGTAATCCTAATTATGTTTCCTCAGAAGTAATTCAATTGTATTTAGATTTATTTTGAAATTTATTGTCTAATTTAGATATTTAAAATTCATATGGCTTTTATGATAGTCAGAAAGAACTATTCTATATAGAGTAGACTCTGACTAAGGTTGCAGGCAGTAAGCAAGTTTGATCACATTTTTTCCCCACACACTAATTTTAATGCTATTTTCTTCTAAGTTTCCTGGTTCAATAAAAGTGAACTCAATGCAACAATTGAACGTTACTACCAGAATCTATCCGCTCTTTCATCCCCCTTGAACGTTACTACCAGAATCTATTAGAAGGGTACATACAGTCTGCCTACCTTTAAGCACTCAGAGAGGGATACACAAATTGCATTAAATCATATATATCCCAGTCTCCATACAGAAGGCTTTAAATTATTTCTAATCTCTCCCTTGGAGGAGAAGGAATTCTCTAGTTTGACAGTGTATACCACATGTGTATGTAGTGCAATGCACATATTGACTATAAGGACACAGTACATGTTCAAGTTTGACCTATACACATAGTCCTTGACTTACAACTACCGTACAATTGACCCCAACATTTCTGTTGCTAAGCAAGGTATTTGTTAAGTGAATTTTACTCCATTTTACAACCTTTCTTGCCACAGTTAAGTGAATTGCTGCAGTTGTTCACTTAGTAACACAGTTCTTAAGTGAATCTGGCTTCTCCATTGACTTTGTTTGTGAGAAGATCACAAAAGGTGATCACATGATCCAGAATACTGCAGCTGTCATAAATATGAATCAGTTGCCTAGCAGCTGAAATTTGATCCTATGACTGTGGGAAAGCTGCAATGGTTTTAAGGGTGAAAACTCTTATAAGCTGAGGGCTACTTTACCACAAACATCTGATGACTCTCAGTTTAGGATGAAACTGGCCAGGTACTGTCTCCTAGTGGTTTTTATAAATGGATGTCAGTCCTCACAGTTAAACCAGATAGAAAACCTATTCTAACTTTATTGTAAAGCTACAGCAGAACTATTGTAAGGTTGAAAAAGAATCTTGCTAAACTAAAACTACAAATTTCCCACTGTCCGTTGTAACTGCTTGTGCCATTAGGGTGGGTCCTTCCTAAGTTTTTTTCTCTGACCCTTAAGACGCTGGGGACTCCTGCCTCTGTTGTCTATTTCCTAGGCAGCATCTCTTTCTCTCATTCCTCAAAGTCATCCACATATTCCATTACTGTTAATTAATAGAAAAAAATATACGATATGGCCTTTGAATAAGACATCTTTTTTCTCTAGTCTTGCTGTTCCCAGTTAAATTATACTTCTTGCCCTAAACTAGTTTAGGAAAAGCTAACAGATAATAAGGCTATGTAAACTTCTGGGAGGGGGATGAAAGAGTGAATAACTATTCCAAAGTGGAATAGCTGTCACCAAGATGCCACTTCACAGATCAATACAGCATGAGTAGGATATCATGATCCCAACTAATGAACTCAAGCAAATCAGAACTCTGAGGCTGAGGTCTTTCTCTAAGAACTTCTTTACTGGGTACATCATATTAGCACATTCAAATGGAAATCCAACTCTAAATGTTTCCCTCAGTTTTAGTGTAATTAAAACAGGAAATAACTCAGGTAACATTGGCCAATTAGATTAATTGGTGGGCTCTCCAGGCACTCCTCCCTGTCTTTATCCACCACC